CCCCCCCCCCCCCAGAAAAAAAAAAAAATAATAATAATAATAATAATAAAAATAAATAAATAAATAAATAAATAAATAATAATAATAATAATAATAATAATAATAATAATAATAATAAATAAGTATAAAAGGTAAGGGCTGAATAAAATACTGGATTATTTTTGGGTGATAACCGGTCTAAAAAGTAACTGTTACAGTAGTGTATGCTTCTCACATATATAATTTGAACTGTTTAATACAGAGCATGCTAAAATGGACCAGTTATTGCATTACAGCATTCAGAAACCTTACTAATACTTCCACACCATACCAAAATGCTGAGAATATTAACACAAAACTGGGTCCAGTTTCACAAAATAAATAATTTAAAAGATAAAAGTTGTTTTTACTTTTGTTTAGAAAGATTGCTACATCAGTCTGCCACCAGATCAATATTCATAAACATTCAAGGTCAAAATAACCACATACTGTACAGTGTATATCAATTATCATTCTAATTAAGAACATGGAACTCACATAAGCATATATCAAAATGAACATTCACACAATGCTATCACAAATTGGAGCATGAAGGATTCACATGTCTCTTTAGTTATATACTACAGTGAAAAATAACCACAAATCATAAATATCTTGTTCAGCACATAAAGATCCAATGAGCATAAAGTTAATGTGAGAGTTCAGAATACTAGACGCATTACCACAAGCCAAGTCCTTGAGGGCTTCACATGTCTACTGGTAATAAAACAAGTCTCATCTTTTCACATGTTCACCTCAACCTGATGCCAAAGGTATGAATTCATATACCTTATAGTATATATGCCAAGCATTGTTGACCTGCCAGGAATATTGGCAAATGAGGTAACATGATGATAATGTTTATACCTGATGTTTATATAAATATATACACTGGGCAAGTGCACAGTATATAATGGTGACGTATCACAGATGATGTTTAACAGGGATGTGCATCTTGGGTTGTTACCAGAATATATGTTTTCATTTATGGCTCTGGCTGGTAAAACATTTACGGGAAATATAGCCAGATGTTTAGCTCATAGTCATATTTGAGTTAAATATTTTTTAACAGTAATGACTCTAAACGTGACTTGAAATAGGGATTACCTCTATCAAATTTCACCTTAAACTGAAATTAATGAACACCCTAAAACAAAATCCAGAGCATTCTTTAAACTACTCAAGTCAACCATTAATAATAAGGCAGCAAGCAAAGAACCAGAACTTAATCAAAACACATAATGACAACTTACAAAAAATACCTTCAAAACCTGGTCTTCTCCTCGGACTTCAGAAATACCTGCCAAGTTAAAATTTTCCGAAATACAGCAACCACACAAATCTTTATATTCCTATATATTATGATAGCAACCCTGAATGATTCAGACTTCAAAAGATAAACACAACATCACTTTCTCCCATCCTAGCTCGCTTTTCGCTGGGAAGGTACCTTGAAGTACCTTGGCGTAATCGAGGATAAATGTCAACATACCTGCCAGCAGCAGATATATTTAAACCATCCGCCCACCACAACTCACACATATTCACCATTGGGGCACATCATATTTCACTAGCTGTACATTAATCTTATCCTGATTCATAGTAGGGCCTATGATATATTGTGATTCAGAGTGCTTAGGTCATGTATGTTACGTCAGCTAACCAGGGGCAGGGCCCATACTTAATCATGCAGGGCCCTCTTGTGTATGTTACATCAGCGGACTATATAGGAAGTCTTTGTTATTTCCATTAGAACCTCACCTTCGGTGCATTAAGATACTGGGTTATAGGATACAGGTCAAAAACATGTCACATGCCAGAAAAATTAATATATAGTTTCAGTACCAGTGATTCTAATATATGAAGTTACTAGTAAATGGGAAGTCTTCACCTCCATGCACACACATACACACACACACACACACACACACATGCACACATCTTTTCCAGTCTATTATATATATCTCAAGTCAAACAAGGCCGAAATGTTTGGTCTGAAATAATTCTGTAAAACTTGCCATAGTGCTAAGCCTACCTGGGATTAACCTGCATTACCACTGTGAGAGCAGGATGACACACGCATGCTATAAATACATATCCCACTGCTGCACTGCAGGAGTAGAACCTAACCACTACCAGACTATACCTTGGAGGAGCCCCTTTCACTGGGCCAAATTTGTGGATTGTTTTCCTTTAATTATCAAGGCAATTTACCTTTATCCATTTTTTGACCTTTGCCATGGCAAAACCGTCAAAGTATCTTTAGAGCAAATACAAATAACGAGGAAGAGCCCTTCTCAGTTTTTCTTATAAATTTTTGCAATCATCTTAGAAAATTGAAAATAAAATCCAACCAATCAGGTGCATGTATTGTTTTAGTAGCTCAAGTTGAGGCAGTGCAAGTTTACAGGACTGCCAACATTGTAGTTCTCAAAACACTTGCGTAAGTTTGTCTTGTTTTTAATAATAAAAGATGTACTGTACACCTAAAAATAGAGAAACTGTAGTCAAAAATACACCGACAAAATCAGCTAATAACATGCAGAGTTGGCATGCCTAGCTTCTGACTGTCTGGCAATAAGGCCACATCAGGCCACTTTCACAACCAATTGATCTGCTGATTAACTAGTTCACAGATCAAATATGGTGCACATTTAACAATTGATTCCCCTACCCTCCCATGCCGTCCAAGCAGGGGCAGAGCAATTAAATCTTTGCAAGCTTTCAAGAAGGTCACGCCATATTTGATCCACAGACTAGTTAGTCTGGGGATCAACTGGTTGTGAACACTGCCTAACAGAGTTAAAAGACAAGCAGGTGAGGAAATGTTTGCAAAGTTCTGCAATGAATACACCTCAGACAGAAGACAGCTTGGTTCAGTTAAAATACACGCCGCAGGCACGGGTGCTGCACTTTACTGACTAGATACCTCTTCTTCTGACCTTGTTTACAGTGCAGGTAAAAGAAAAGGTATCATGTTCTTGGCATATAGTAGATACCACTTGAAAAGCACCCTGAGAGTGCAGACCTCCACTCATCATTAATACACAATTATTCAGAATTGCATCACCATCAATATCTAACCGATTCAGAGTTGGCCCATTTCAGACATCTTTTGAAAATATGAACCGTAACTTTTCAAGGCCAGTGGGGTTTCTCCATTCTATACACAGATCCAATCAATATGATAACCCTCTCTGGTAAAATACAGGCATATTCCTCTGCAGCCAAGCCACTTAGTAGAAAACCACACAGCAATTAATTAATCTGTTAAGCCTTTGGTGACTGGTCTCTCTCTCTCTCTCTCTCCTCTCTCTCTCTCACACACACACACACTCACACACACACACACACACACACACACACACACAAACTGTAAAAATTTTACTAGTAGTTCAAAACCCATCTAAGTGTGACATCTGTTACATTGCTTAAGTTTTATGATCATATTCTTCTCCACCTTGGCAGCCTTAACATTCAGTACCACACTTTCTGCCGACTTAATGAGGAAGCTGTTTAGCTCATAAATGTGGCAACCTTTTTTATCAGTTCATATTTTGTTAACCCCGACTACAAATTTACCGATCCTCACACAATCAGCCCGACTTCCTTTAAATCTGAGCAATAAAACTGGAGTACTGTAGGTAGTTCAAGGGCACAAGCTATATAAATTTACAATAAAATGCTGTCTTTTTAAAATTCACCTTCATTAAGTCTATATCAATGTGTATTGCAAATTACAATTTTTACTAGTTTATAATACATTACAATCCCTTTTCACCCAAGGCTTCATCAATATATAATTTCAATATTTTAACCATGAAATTAACTTGGCTCCTCTTGATCAGATACTGCTCGTCATGTTATTTAAACATAGCTGTCATTAATCTGACATACTATGTACACTGAATTCACAGTGTAAGTTAACAGACATACATCTAAATAACTTACCTGAGTATATATAGAGTAATTCTTCTATTCCTCTCAACAGCCAAAGTAAAATAATCCAATAATCCCGTACTGTTCACAATAGACATAAACTTATCAATCTGAAAAATCTGTTTGCTAAAAGCACTCCAATACTTATCTTACTCACAGTCACAGACCAAAAAAGAAATATGGTTTGTTATATAAGAGTTTATAAGTTTCCTAAAGTTTATAGTTCTAGATGATGTGCTCTTGATGGGCACTTAGACGAAGATCAGACTAGAACACTGGAGAAAGCTGTCACGCTGTGATGAGACAATCTTACTAATGACTGTCCCCTGCAGGTGAACACTGCCACGGAACAGGAAATGACATTCTTACATGGATTGGAGTAATGTTTTTTCCTTAATTTCCTCTCCCACATGAGCCCTATTTTAATAAACAACGATTACTACAATTTGTGGCTCCTTAAAACTGCTACAAAAACAAAACTACTAGTAGGAGTTTTAATTCTGAAACACCGCGCCTAAAAATCAATGTTTCAACCTGAATTGTATTAATTTTGCTGTATAAGTAGTATCTCTAACAGTGGAAAGCAGGAGAGAGAGAGAGAGAGAGAGAGAGAGAGTTTAGTTTAACTCACATACTAGTATTGTTCCAACTTAAAACCAGTCTGAATGTTGCTCGAGGGTTTTTTCCCACCTGACTGTTCATTTCACCACATGATATTTATTTAGCTGAATGACTATAACCTCATGTCGTGTGGTTAAATGGTAGTCATGCTCTAAATATGTTCATCTAAATACCTAATTTTTCATTTTCTTTAAAAACCTTTTCTGTTAATAGAATTGTATGTGTGTATGACTGGTTAGTGATGATATTAGATGGTGACAAAACTTCAGTGTAGCCATGCTACTGTACTGTGAGGTGGAGGTGCTGTCAGGTGACTGGATGCTGTGATCATGTGACAGGTGTAGTCATGTGACTGGATGTTGTGATCATGTGACAGGTGCTGTCATGTGACTGGATGTTGTGATCATGTGACAGAAGGTGCAGCCATGTGACTAGATGTTGTTATCACATGGCAGCGGGGTATCAAATGGTGGGGTGGGGGGTAGTGTCTGTAATTCAATTATTATTTGCTTGGGACCTTATGTAAACATTTTCAATGCATAAAACATAAATGTTTGTGCTTGAAAGAGAGAGAGAAAGAGGCAAAGGGAGATTACATTACACTACGTTTAGTCCAAATTGCCAAAAGTTCATTCAATTCTATTTTATCTTAATGATAATTTTCACTTGCCAGCCTCTCTTTCTCTGGGGAGGAATAAATAAATATATCATGTCTACATAATGGCTCTTGTTTAAATTCATGTTCTTTACATAACAAATGCAGCATTTCTTTCAAAATAATTCACCCATAAAAAGAAGAGACAGCCATTCTGCACTCCATGATCTGTAACATTTGATATATCTTATTCTTCCATAGACTTAAAGAATAAGATCATATTCTTAAACCATGTGTCTAACACCATGTTAAACCTCACTTCTTTAATGTTGTTTTCTTTTTTTTATCAAACTGTTTTATTTGCTCATTTCTCAGCCAATATTTCTATTTACCTGGAAAGCCTTCCTACGCTTACCTACAGTTACCCACGTCAGTAGTATAAAAGTGGGCTAATCACCTGACTGCTGCACCTTCTGCCTCACCTGGCTGATACTAGTAAACACATTGAGTGGATCTTCCTCACTCTACTGTATGCTCTCTGAGCCAATAACATTATACTGAGTGCTTTGGAGATGGGAAAAGGTTATATATATTATATATATTATATATTTTTGATACAGATAGAATTCCTAAGGGCAGATTCTAAAAAGGGCATCTACGACTAAAGACTGGTTTAAACTTCAAAACCATATTTTAATGTATTTTGACAAAACATAAATTAGTATTTAGTCTATATATGATTTACTGAACCACTTTAGCCTTTAAAAGTTAATAGGACCTGCAGCGAATATGGCCTCAATTTGCAAAACGTTATATTAATTCAATCACCTATAAACCAGTTTGGCTGCACTACAGGTAAAAACATGTTTATTTTAGTAAACTACTGCCTACTAGTAATTTTTCCTGAACAGAACTAAACCAAAAATTTCCAGTTTTAATTATATCTTCTTATTTATTTAAGTAGGTATTTTAATACCATAAACATTCTTCTAGGACACCACCCTACGCACCATCCAGAGGCCGTCTTGTAACCAAGAATACAAATCCCCCCTCACTATCAACCCCAGCCCCCATCGTGTTCTTTCAAATTCAAACCATGCGTAGTTGAAGACACTGGGTAATTTTCTTACCAAAAGGTCACATGAACTTTACTGCTACTTTTTAATGTGACATGCCCATTTCGCATGAACATCAAAACAAAAATCAAAAGCATTAAAATAAGTTGTTTTTGGTCACTGATACACTAACAGAGGACATACATACATATTAAATTTTTTCCCTTGTATAATTATTATAAAAAAAAAAAAACATTTTTAACCTAACCTGAACCTATAAATCTATACAATTTGTGAGCTGCTGCAATATGTACAGTACTTGAGAAACAGGTTCTGAATCAAGGACACATACCCTTTGAATATCAAAATAAAATTAATTTTGATGCAAACAGACTGGTTTCAGACTAAACTGCAACGGCAAAGGATCCAATTACTAGTACTGTGACAATGATGTTAAGGGCTAGCTACAGTAGTGTTCAGTGAAACATCTTCCTAGACTCACCTATGTGATCAATTAAATCCCACTTTAAAGCTTTTAATTATTACTAAAATAGTTCTTGACAGCTTGTGCAAATTAAAGACATCAAAATGAGACTAATTATAATTTAATGGCTGGTAATTCAGATTGACCAATCTATGACATCATAAAAGATCTTAACCAGGCAAGGTTGAACAAAACCTATTCTTGAGGTCCACCTTACATACTATCACTTCCTCCCCAGTTAATTTGTCTATGGCGTGACTGGTGACAATATGGCAGAATGTGTCAGCGTGAGCTGTTTAGTTGTTTTAAAATATGAATCACAAGCAGATGCTGTACAGACCATCTAAAACATGTCCTCTTCCAGTTGCAATTGCCATTACCAAGAGAAAGTGCAACAAAAAATTCACTTAAATTGTACCAGTTCATGATTCGTTTTCTGATGGAAAGTGAAGAGTAAAATGGAAAACAGAATGTAAATCCATGTTCGTTCATAGTGTGTGTCTGTCAGAATGACCAGGTGTGTGTTAGTGTGTATGTGTCTGAATGAACATGTTCAAACATGCATGTTGAAGAGCAGGGGAGAGAGGGGGTAGCTAATATTTATGAAAAAACTCACAGATAAAATTTAATAGGGGGAGGTAATATACATATAGCAACATACCATCAGGGAAAACCCACCTCTCAGACTACGTAATTTATCACACAACTTCAGATATATGAGAGAAACTATTACAGTAATCCCTCTATTTGGTTTTTGTTCAGGTCCAGATAGATGGTTGTCTGGAAAAGATGACTCATAATACCATACCCACCCTATGTGGCCTAGGGGACCATACTATATCAAGTATGGCAGGTGTAAATTTTAAATGCCATTTGGGTTTTTAAACTTTGCAATCATGAAAATACATAGTTAATTCCTGAGAGACTTAGGTGACCAAGGTGCTTGTGTGCGTGCACGTGTGTGTGTGTGTGTGTGTGGGGGGGAGAGAGAGAGAGAGAGAGAGAGAGAGAGAGAGAGAGAGAGAGAGAGAGAGAGAGAGAGAGAGAGAGAGAGAGAGAGGAGTCTCAGTACACAAGAACATCCTAACAGATATAAACTAAAATTTATAACAAATAGCACTCCCAAAGCTAATATATCCTTTGAAACCAGCATTTCATGCACTTTGTCATTAAATAAATAAAATAAATATATCCTTAACCCATGTGCCACTCCACTCCAATCTCATACTTCAACAGTATATATACAATTCACTTTATAGTCCCTATCCCAATACAGCACAATGACAGTGACAAGTGCATGAAGTTACATGTATACGTGAAAAGTTTTTATATCCTTTATTTTAAAACCTTCCCAAAACAGTTTGCAATATACTTCAATTTAATTCACACTTCAATCTTATTTTTTAAAAAAAATCTACATATAGGTACTATGCTCATGAGGTTAACCAAGGCAGTGTATGGCTTGCATACTGATGACTTAATGTCACCCTTTAACGTCACCTTCACAATAACCATTATACAGCAGTGACGCAAAAGCTAGGCGTTATGAATAGCTTGGGCTTCACAAACTGTCAACCATATACTCCCTACAATAACTGAACAGAATTTATTTCAAACTTGATTATTTGGGTTATGTTTAAATCAACTTCAAAAACAGTCGAATATTTGTCTTGTCATTCAAGTAATTTAAGACTTGTCACTGATTTTGGCTTAATAGTTCCTGAACATTACTCTGGAGTGTCTACAAACAATATTATTATCTCAACAGTAGAAGTTTCAACAGGCTGTTGTTGTGATACTTTTCTTAGTTTACGATAATAAAGTGTCTTCGGTAAGAGACTAAATAAAGCAGGAAGGGTGAACACTAGTACTTATAACTTTTAAATAAGTAGTATTTTTAATACTTAACTCATTTTTCACAACAAAATTAAAGTATTTCAATGTTCCATACTCCAGTAAAAAACTCAATGACTCAAACACTAAATCAGGCAAAGAGCTGATACATTTTAACTAGGCCAATTTTTTAACAAACTGATTAGATAAGGTAATTCAATAGTCCAGGGGCACACGTTCAAGGTTAAATTTATCTGGAGACAAGTTTATTTTTCCAGGAAGCCTATTGATGATTGATATAGTTGAGTAGCAAATGCTAGCGTTTTTTTGTACAAAGATCTTATCATTATTTTTCTGCATTGATATCCACATCACTACTTATAACAAGCAAAATCATTAAATTGAGAAAATAGTAAATGGTGACTATCTAAGTAAATAAAAACATATGCATCCTGGTTTGTATTTCTTCTGTGGCAGAAAATTTGGTTATCAGATTAAAATCTTTTCACTTTTCTCTTTAAATTATCATCGGCAAGGAAGGGATACTAGTAGTGATATTGGACAAAAAGATCTTTCTTCTTGAGAAACTTAATTGAATGGAAAATGAAAGCAGACTGTAACTTCGTGGTAAACAATTTGAAAAATAAAATCAATATATGTAAATTGAAGTGGAATATCCCAGATATGCTTTCAGATAGTGATTATTAGTTTTGATTCAAATGGTTCCATACAAATATGCTGATAAGCACAGCGTGTTAGATTTCAGACCACAATGTTCAACTGTACTTTGACCGAATGAGAGGGGAATTCCATTTTATTTCAGCCACTTTTGGTTTACTGTCTAATTTTAGTAATTGGGTTTCTACGTTTCTAAGTGGACTACGTATATATATATCCTTATATTATTATATAACTTTTTATGTAATGGTGGTGGTTAAATACATGAGTATTTATTTATTTATTGGTATATTGATATATTGAGTTGTGTTGTACAAAGGTGTGAGAATCAATAAAGAATCTGAATCTGGTTTCTTTTTCTCGCTGGTATGATTCTACTGCCTAAACCAGGATCTAAAAAAATTAGCGAAGAGACTTAATACCCCGAAGTCAAGCCGCACTAACCCAATAACATCACTGGTAAATTAAAAATGTAAACGTCTTACCTGAAACAGCTTCAGAAAGCGCTTGAAAGCCTTGTATCGACAGCAGCAGTCTTGTAAGCGTTGTCACGAATAGCCCCGTCTGTATCGAAAGACCGTGACCTTGAACATGTATTTTTAAAAAGTGTTCTTTCAAAAATATTTTCGTCGATTTTTATTACCTAAAATGCATACTTCCTTCAATTAAAATATTTTAAATAAGCACAATCAAAATCAACATAACTAGCAAATAAAATTCCAAGTCTCGTGATGACGCTAATAAAGACGAGACTTAGAAACCAACATGTCTGCGCCCGTGGAGTGAACTGTTTTACCTAGAGTCTGTGCAATTTCTTAAATTTTGATTGCACCCAAATGCCTTAGGTGGATATACGTGACTTTGAAATATCCCCTGGCAATATGGCAGAGGACAAAGGCGAAGTACGTTTTAAAAACACGTTTTAACATATATCTCATTGGCGGTGTAATGTCCACTATCGAAATCAAATGCTGCTCTTACCTTAGTTTTCAGTCTTACGATGTTTACATGCTCACGATACCCTTTCCAGTGGTTAGGGTACAGTGAGCATATAGGGCTGAAAACTTCTGCAAATGCAGCTCTCAATAAAACTAGTAACAGCAATGCACATTTGAGTTCAAATACAATAATTGTGAATGCATAATAATGCTTTAATGGACGAAAGACTGGGTTAAGTTTTAAATTAAATTATTGATCGGTAAGGACCACCCTCAAAAATGAATGCATCTTCTTTTGTTTTTACTGTAGGATAAAGAAAAGGTCACACACAAACTGGAACCAGACACAGAGCTAAGGTTTGAAGTAGAAGCAGGAGCAACTGTTCAGCTCGAGGTAATGGGTACTAATGCCATATGCCCCCCCCCCCCCAAAAAAAAAAAAAAAAAAAAAAAACTTAATTAGTTAAATTTCAAATTTATTTGCGTGATGCCTTTGATCAATTTCTTTGTTACCTGTACATGAATTATTTTAGCAATTTGCTGAACGAGTTGTAGTGATTTTTATTCAGAGCTATCATTTTGATGATTATTTTTTAAATTTTTAGCTCACAAAAGGTCTTGCAGAGGTGTTTGGCACAGAGCTAATTCTGAACAAGAAGTGTACATTTCAAGGAGGCTCCAAGCTTGCAGTGTACACCTTCCATGGCTGCACAGTCACTATATCCTTTGATAAGACAACTTTTAAATTGTTTTTCAAATAAAAAGAAGGAGACTTTGATTAAAGGCGTGTCTGAAAGGTAATGGAGCTGTTGTCATTTCAATTCCAACCAACAAATTGCTTGGTTTCCACTTGAAGGTAATCTCCTTTAAAACTAATATGTTTTTGAGTTTATGATGACCTCCTTTGAGCAGGAAGCCATGTTAAATTATTATTGTCCCTTTTCCATCCATATCTAAGACTGCACAATCATTCCTGATAATTAAAAAGGCAGACCTTTTATGTATATTTTGCATTAGGTGATTCTTTATTTTTCCTGGAGAGTGGTTAATTTTTAGTTATAATTATGTCCTTGACGTAGAGTACCTAACAGGAAAGACAGAATCAGCATATATTGCAAAGGAAACCCCGATGACTATGTATGTCAACACACATGCAGCCTTGGAACAGATGAGACAGAAAGCTGATGAAGAATTCACACGTGGACCAAGGGTAAATTTTCTTGTATACACAAAAAAATTAAATTTTCCCCCCCCCCCCAAAAAAAAAAAAAAAACGTGAATTGAAGAATTGATTGACATTTGGTACTTTTNACTGTATACCCATTCCTGTTACTTCAAAGACAGATCTTGTAGATATACATAATTTTCATTAACTGATTTTTTTATTTTTTCCGAAGAGTGATTAATTTTTAGTTATAATTATGTCCTTGACGTAGAGTACCTAACAGGAAAGACAGAATCAGCATATATTGCTAAGGAAACCCCAATGACTATGTATGTCAACACACATGCGGCCCTGGAACAGATGAGGCAGAAAGCTGATGAGGAATTCACTCGTGGACCAAGGGTAAATTTTCTTGTATACACAAAAAAATTAAATCCCCCCCCCCTAAAAAAATGGCTTGAGAAATTGATTGACATTTGGTACTTTTTGACAAGTTAATACATATATGAATTTGGTTGGGACATGCCAGATGGTCTGAAGAAATATACAGTTCTATAATACTTAATATATTAATTTAAAAACAGTAATCTGGAACATCGGCCATTTGAACAGTTTAGTCATTTTTTTAATTTTGTATTAAAACTATATCACACACCTGTATTCAAATATATAATTATTAAATGAATAACTATATTTAAAAAAGAATAGGTCATATTCTAAATATCATATTTTTCTGTCCACAGGTAATGGTAGTTGGTCCCACTGATGTGGGCAAGTCCACAGTCTGTCGTATGTTACTGAACTATGCAGTAAGAATGGAGAGAGCACCTATATATGTAGACTTGGATGTTGGCCAGGGAAACATTGCCATACCAGGGACAATAGGTAAAACTTGTTGGTTTTAACCTGAGTTTTGTAAATGAGAGACATATAAACTAACCCTAAAGGGCCTCAAGCAGGATAAAACCAGTGCTTGCTTTGCAGAGGAACCATAGTCACTTTGACTGTTCTTTTGAACATTATGCAGTTAACTCTTAGTATTTGCCTAGTGTTATGAAATAACCCCTTAAATTCTGATGACCACCAAGCCAGCATAATAAAAATGTTTAAATAGCAATATTATGTAAAACCATCTTCAAGATGACATTCACTCCATTCAGTATAATACTTTCCGTAGTCAGCCTCTGATAGGGATCAAACAATATCTTCATTCTGTATTTCAGGGGCCCTGATAGTTGAGCGCCCAGCCAGCGTGGAGGAGGGATTCTCCGAGGTTGCTCCTCTTGTGTTCCACTTTGGCCACAAGTCCCCTGGTGACAATCTCACTCTGTATGATCTCCTGATATCACAGCTGGCAGAGATGGTCAACCTCAGGTGTGAGTCCAACAAGAGAGGTCAGTGTCTCATGAAGTATTTTTTTTATGCTAATAGAAAGGTTTATTAAAAATAAGGGAAAAAATCAATGTATTCCATACGCAATGAATCCTCTTTGGCAGCAATGAACAAGTGCAGTTTTGTTCTCCATTGGCTAAGGACTTATTGTTAGAGGATTTAGCAAGAAATGTTGATTCTAAATGTCAGTGGACAGTGGGTATAAAAATATTAAAATGTGTGAATTAAAATTTATCAAAATTATTGTCTTCATTTCAAAGTGGAATTTAAGCCTGGCCCTATAATTATTTCAGATCTTTTAATTTTAGGTACTCCAAGTTATAAAACTCGGCGCTGTTTGGTGTCTCAATAAAAGATAAATAATAAACCATGAGTTTTAATTAATATTTCCTCTATTCCAGCCAACACTAGTGGTGTTGTGATCAACACCTGTGGTTGGGTGAGGGGTGGGGGCTACCACTCTATTGTACACACTGCTGGGGCTTTTGAAGGTAGGTAGACACAGACTGATGAAACAATACAGTATACTTTAGCTTGGCATAATACACCAAGACTTCTCATATTGTACTATTTATGCAGAGTTATATTTGTTATTTTATATTTATTTATGTTATATATGATAATATAACTGATGATTATATAACTGACTTTTATCATAACCGCTGACCTTGACTTTTGACCTAAATTCCAGTTGACCTAGTTGTGGTCCTAGATCAGGAAAGGCTGTACAATGAACTGAAGAGAGACCTGCCAGACTTTGTGAAAGTGATATTACAACCAAAATCAGGAGGTGTAAGTTATGCAGAAAAATAACTTTTGAATAACGATAGTTTCATTGTGGACTGACACTATGTTTATCCAGTGCATGTTTGTTTGTTGTCATTTATTCCAAGTGTGTAACTAAGTAATGGCCATCACTGGATCTTTTCATTGGGGGAAATTGGATTTTACAGATACTGTATTTTTCAAGTCATAATATACTGAACAAAAATATAAATGCATGAAAGAATATGTAGATTTATTTTCATATATGGAACTAGAGTATATAGCCAAAAATAACAGCATATTTTTCTCGACAAATAGACATCAATTTGAGAGCATAAGGGGAAGTTTAAATGCATAGTCCAAGAGTTAGGGCATCAAATACACCATGGGGGTCAACATCCTGAGTTCACAGACACCATTAAATTTGTGCAGAGCAGTACACCAGCGGCGCATGGACATCACTAAGTTGTCAAGAGGCCTAAGGGATATTATCCCATTCCTCCTGGAGTGCTTCTTGCAGTTGGCGAACATTTTCAAGAGCTGGAACATGATGGCTGAAAACTCTGATCCAGAACATTCCACAGGTGTTTGTTGGGCGACATGGTGCATGAGGGTGGTTCCAATTGCTACCAGTGTCTCTGGAGCGTGTTCCCAGACGGCTGACAGTGGAATGATGCACATTCAGGCATATGCTCCCTCATGGTTCCAGACAGCTGTGGCATGTTGACAAGTGGCAGAAATACACATTTTGGTGTGTCCTTTTATTGCCTAGGCGGTAGAGAGTGTCCGAGTATTGGTCTTGCAGATTGACCTCTACTCTGTCATGCTCCATTAGTCTAATGGGTGTAAAAACTGAACCTTTGAGTATACTTACGGGGAGCGGCCAAGTGAAACCAGACCACTATAATTGATCAAAACAAATCCATCAGTTCACAAATAAACCATCAACCTGGGCATATTTCATGATTATCCATTTCAACTGACCATTTTAGTTTCGTGCATTTATATTTTTGTTCAGTATAGGTTATTTCTTAAAATGAGAACATTCCTATTGAGTGGTAGCAACAAAATGAACAAAAAAAAAAA